ATCTTCCTTGTATCCCTGAGCTAGGAGACATGACTTCACCTCTCATTTCCGTAATTACATCACTTTCCAGGTCCTTAACCAATCTCCAGCCAGAGGAGTGGGATCACTTTGACTAGACTACAATACCCTCACAGGGAGATTCGCCCTGGGGTAGAAACAAACGAGTGGCTGCTGCAGGTGTCTTTTCCATGACATGTGCTTATATGATTGTACATGTGCAGTGTCTCTACAACCCAAGGGGGACAAAAAACTAAATATATTCCTGGGGGCACCCAGCACAGTGACTCCACCAAATAAGTGCTCCAAAAATTATGAGTGTGCCAGTCATGGTGGCAAATGCCTGTGACCCCAGCACTCAGGAGGCGGAGGCAGGAGGATGCCCTAGAGTTCCAGGCCAGGCTGGGCTCCATAGTGAGTTTAAGGCCAGCCTGTACTACATAGCAAGACCCTGTCTCAAAAATCAAAGTCAAAACCAAAACAAAACCAAAATAATGAATGAAGGAAATATCAAGACTAGAAATGATTGGTATAATGGTAAATTGGGTCATTACCAGGGATATTTCTATATTTGTTTGCTGCTGGGTTAGACATCTGTGAGCCTGATGAGTTTTTTTGGTTGTTTTTTTGTTTGTTTGTTTGTTTTTGGTACCAGGAATCAAACTCAGGGCCTCAAGCTTGCCAGGCAGGTGGTGCCACTGAGCTATGTCCTCGGTCCCTAGTGAGATATTTAATAAGCACAGAGGAGTATAGAGAAAGAGAAAAGTGATGGGCAGGATTGTATTGCTATGCATTCCGCTTTCATAATTAAACTAATTTGTGAGTGTAGACAAAACTTAGGCATAATTAGGAAAATTTTGTATTCTGTAAACCCTAATTTAACAAAATTTTGGGGCCCTGAAGGTGTGACTCAGTAGTAGAGTACTTGCATAGCATGTGTGAGGCTCAGGATTCAATCCCAGCAATGAAGAAAGAGAGAAAAGAGAAAAAGAATCCTTATGGTGATGAGACAAATGTTTAAAAGGCATTTTCTGAAACTAGGCTGGTAGCACACACCTGCAATCCCTGCATTCTGGGAGGCTGAGGCAGGAGGATCACAAGTCTGAACCCAGTCTGAGCAACTCAGCATCTTAGAGAACCTCTGTCCCAAAATAAACAGTGCCAGGGATGTAGTTCAGTGCAAAAGCCCTGGGTTCAATGGTTCGAACCCCAGTGCTGCAACAACAACAACAACAAATATCTGTTCTGTACTACGACTAAAACAGATGTATCCAGTTGTATAAAGTTCACTGATGATACGGAAGATTTCTTTCCTGTTGCAGACTTAAGGAGTGTTAGAGGGAAGAACCATTCCCCCAGGAAAACCAGGCTCTTGGAATGAATGGGACAGCAAAAGGCTAATGAGATGCCAGCAACAGGGACCATCGGGGCTGAAGGCCACTTCCTAGCCCCAACACACGCACGCATGCGCACGCGCACGGGGCTGTCTTCCTTTTTGACTTGGGCCTCCTTGTTTCCTAGACAACCGCCTGGGAGCCGTCTGCCTAGGTGCTCTCCCCAGTGTTGCCTTGTGGCCTTGGCTGGCAGGCAGTGGTTGGCCCGGCCTGGCCCCAGGACCTGGGTGGGGAGGCTGTGCTCTGGGTGGGAGCTGTCCTGCTAGGACATCTGATCTGAAAATTGATTCGCTGAGACTCAGGCAAGCAAAAATACCCCTCAGCAGTGAAGCTCAGGCCTGGAGGGTGGGCGGCGGCTGGTGCTGCCCCTCTGGCTCCATGAGCTCCACCTGGGCTCAGGGCAGTGCGCTGACTGGGTGGCAGGGGACCGCTGTTCCCCACGGCTGTGCCCCGCCCGGTGCTGGGGAAACACCGGCCTCCATGGGCCTTGGGGTGCCAAGTACACACAGTGACTCTCCCTGGGGTGCACAGAGGCCACCGGAGTCAGATCTGAGGTCAAATTTCGTTTCCACCACTTGCTCTGCAGCCTTAGGCCAGATAGCTCTGGCCAAGGGTATAACCGCATCCTTCACGGTGAGGATACTGGGAAGATTATGAGACACAGACACAGAAGCTACAAATACATCCTTCCTCCAACAGCCCCACGCAGGGCTGCCACACAACCTTCCACAAGTCTGAGCTCCCTCCAATCTGGACTTCTAGGTTTTCAAAAAATTTTCTAACCCACTTGGTGACCCTCTGGCCTGACAGATTCCTGCTGGCACACAGGCATTTGCCAGCTGCTTCCCAGACCCTGGAGGCAGGCTCTCTGCGCCCCCCTTGAAGTGAACCCTGCCCCAACCTCCTCGCCCCTCAGTGGCTGGCACCCCCCACATGGGCAGGTAGGCAGAAGCAGTGTAAGTCCTCTGTTGGGCAGCCACAACCTGGGGCCACAGCCAGCCCCACAGCCAGCACCTTCTCAAGCTGTGTCCATTTATGCCGCAGTTCGGATTTTCCATCGTGCCCGGTGGCAGATCAGATGATTGTCAGCCACAAAGCGGTGACCTAGACCTTGGGGTGTATTTGTTCTTGCTGCAGGCTAACTTCACCCTTCCTCCCACACAGGAGGGGAAAGCTTCTGTACAAGACAGATCCCCCACCTCAAGCGCTGGCACTTTGCTCTTGCAATTCCCCAGGCTCTATTCTGCTGGAATATTTTCTCAGCTAAACCCTTCTCTCACCTTCTCTCACCCCACACCGTTGTGGCTGCCGAAAGCCTTCCAATTCTTTTCACATCCTGGCACATTTATAAAATAATTCTCATCAGTTAAGGTTTACTGAAGAAATTGTAGGGGGCTGCTCCCGGCCAGGGGCTTCAGGCTGTTCAAGTCATTCTGAAGGGATCACATGTGGGCTCCCCTAGTCCTATTCTCAGGCACCCTACTTGGGAAATGCTGGCTTAGAGAAATGGCCCTCTCAGCCAGGCATGGTGGTGAATGCCCGTAGCCCCAGGAGGATGAGGCAGGAGGATCACTTGAGTTCAAGGGTAGCCTGAATTACATAGGGATATCCTGTCTCAAACACACACACACACACACACACACACACACTTAGCTGCAGCTGCAGGACTCACCTGCTCCTTCTGACAGATCTCCCAGGCTGCAGGAGCTCCTCCGGGAGCCCCTCTGATGTGCCCACTGCCTGTCCAAGGTTTCATCCCAGCCCCGCACCCTACGCCCCGCTGCAGAACAGCCTGGCCCATCTGAGGGGAAGCAAGGTTAATCTGTGCTTAGGGATGGAGCTCAGCAGAGTCTTGCTTTGCCCCAAGGGCATAAAAGCCAGATGTTCTCATAAGAATACTTTAGAAAATGTCTTGAGCACATAGGTGATCTCAGGCTGCAGAAGCTTGCCATGCTATGCTCATACGTACCATTTTTTGTTGAGCAATGAAATGTTTTTGGTGATATTTGTGACTGAACCCAGTGTGTGCTGAGCTGCATCCCCAGCCCCTTTGATGGTAAGGGGTACAAAAGACACCACTGGGAGAGAGATGGTAACCAGGTAACACTGGAACATGGTAAGTCATGGAGCAAGGGTGAGCACTTCTCGCTCTGCAGCCCAGCCCCATCCACACCCAGGGAGCAGCCCCGCGCCAGGCCCACCCCATCCCTGCCTGTCCTTCAGCAAAGCTGGATCTCACCACCAGGCCTCAGCACTAGCGCTGAGAAGCTATCAGCAAGCTCTCCAGCCAGCCACACCCATGCCGTCAGCACTCCGCCCTCGGCCCTGAAGATGCCTGCTGCTTCCCACAGTGGCTTCCTGGTAGGTTCACGTGAGGGAACTCTGCTCTCCCATCTTTCTACACACATCAACTTGCCTTAGCTCAGATGCTCTCCATAACAATACACCGGGTCAAGTACCAATACCATATCAAGCTGTGACTTGTTTTTCTTTTTTTTTGTCTTTTTGAGACAGGGTCTCCCTGTGCAGTTCGAGCTGGCCTTGAGCTCATTTTGCAGCCCAGGCTGGCCTCGAACTTGCAATGATCCTTCTGCCTCAGCCTCCTGGGTGCTGGGATTACAGACGTGCACCACCATGCCTGGCTGTGACTTGTTTTTTCTGTCAGCCTCCTCTACCTTCTCCAACTAGTAACTCTTTTAGTATAGTATTTGACATTCTGCAGGTCTAGAGTAAGCAATATTAACAAGCCTTTCACATGTAACTAATAAACAGTGTATGGAGCCCATCCCCAACCTCGAGAATGACAATCTGTACTGTAGTATCTATAGGTCATTCTCATCTGTATTTTAGTTCCAGTATTGAATGTATGAGCCACCAAATACTTTTGTCACCATTCATCAATACAGTTCAAAATGAAACAGACCAGGGGGCAGAGGACTGCAGATAAAGTTATAACAGTGTCCACTTGTAATCACAGCTACTTGGGAAGCTGAGGTAGGATGACAACAAAGTGTAAGACCAGCCTGGGCAACTTAATGAAAATGTCTCATCTTTTTGTTTTAAAAAGATGGTTTAAATTGGGCATGGTGGCACACGCCTGTGATCCCAGCACTGGGGAACCTGAGGCAGGAAGATCACTGCAAATTTGAGACCAGCCTGGGCTATATAGTGAGTTCAAGGCCAGCCTGGACTACATAGTGAGACCCTGTCTCAAAATAAATAAATAAATAAAAGAAGGTTTACAGGCAGATGTGGTGGTATATACCTGTAATCCCAGCACTCAGGAGGCTGAGGCAGGAGGATCACTGTGAGTTTGAGGCCAGCCTGGGCTACATAGTGAGTTCAAGGGCAGCCTGAACTACTAAGTGAAACCCTGTCTCAGACAAAAAAAAAACAGGATTTAGGATACAGCCTAATGCCTCCTGGGTTCAGTCTCCAATAGTGACTTAGCCAGACCTTATCTCAAGATTTAAAAACAAAAAATTTTTCAAAAAGGGTTGAGGATGAAGTTCAGTGCAAAGGCCCTAGGTTTATACCCCAGTAAAAGAAAAATCAGGTGGCTCATATTCCATCTCAATTGGTCTTAGTGGAACAAGTATCTACCTTGATTCAGAAGCCAGGTTGATCTTTAAATACAAACATTTTTATTGACAGATTAGGGCTTAAACAATTCCACAGAACAGAAAAAAATGTGTGAGATGAGACAATGGAATGCAAAATCACAGCAGAAAGATTAATACTCTGCATCCTGTCCTCTCCCTCAGCACTATCTGTTTCAATCTCCTCATAACGCTTCTCAAGGGCAGCCATGTCCTCTCGGGCCTCAGAAAACTCCCCTTCCTCCATCCCCTCACCCACGTACCAGTGAACAAAGGCACGCTTGGCGTACATCAGATCAAACTTGTGGTCCAGGCGCGCCCAGGCCTCCGCGATGGCTGTGGTGTTGCTCAGCATGCACACAGCCCGCTGTACCTTGGCCAGGTCTCCACCAGGAACCACAGTGGGAGGCTGGTAATTAATG